TGTATGGTTCAGAAAAATTCCTTGTCAAAATTGGGATTCCGACGAGCCTAAAGGAGTGGACGCGACAACGCACCTCGACTCTGTCGACGGAGAGAATGTTGCAGCCAGCACCTCGTCCTCCGCGGAGAGCACAATCGAACGTGGTGCCGACAGAGTGGTAAGACCACTTAAAGACCATAGATTATACTACGTAGTAGTGAAAAATATGCATTGCAAGAGGTTGTCGCCCCTGGAATTTTATGAATTATCCGGACGGTTGGTCGACCACTGTTAGTCAACACTTGCAGAGACAATCCGGGGCCATGTCGACGAATGTACCAGCGACCGAATTCGTTTGAGTACGCGTGAGTTGGGTTGTTGACGGAGTTGTCTTCGTCGGCATTGTCATACCACTTTGGCGCCTGGTTCAGGTGGTCGGCGCTCGAGAAGACGACGAAATAGTGCAGGGTCGACGGAGGCAGGACGATCGACGAGGCAGGGGTCCATGTAATCATCTCTGGCTTGACGGACTTGAAAATGTCAATTTGTTCAAATATGGTGGACTCGGTGCAGCCGGGAACGCCTACAAGTCTACCATGAGCCCCCCATTTGCAATGCCACCATCAAAGTAGTTCCGTACCTTCGACAGAAGGGCATATAGCGACTTCCAGCGTCGTGTTGGGGGCCACTCTGGACGTGTCCATCCAAAAGGTGACATGGTCGACGGTACGCCCCCCTTCACACGCGTCGTTCGCGACAGTGGGGCTAAGGAATCCCGCGGCTTCGCCGAGCTTGTCCGTGACGTAGGAGGATGGGGTGTCCACGGCGGGGGGGTCGTGGCGGGCAAACACGATTTGGGACGCGACGGCGACGTGGACGAGACCGGCAAGAAACTTCATGGCAGGGAAAATGTTGAAATGACGGTGGTGGGCCACCCATGGCCCAAAGGGGTATCTAACCACATGCACCGAGACATGCACTGCGACAGTGTCGCCATGGTCCCAGCCGTCTCACGACTGGAAAAACTACAATCACGATCGTCAGAGCTCTGGAATTTCCAATGCCCAATCGGACAATGCGACACAACCTAGATCGAAAGTGTCGTGAAAGTGCGATTCGTTTTGAATATCTTGCGTCAAGGAGCGGCACAGTCTATCTGTCGCATTTCACGACGAGAGGAAATTATTGGGTGTTCGGTGGCGCGCACTGTTCGAGCTCGCTCGTCGCCACCACCTTTGGGACATTATACACACGACCTCCACGTCGCGCCAGTGTGCAGCATCGCCAGGGCGGAAGCTCCGTCGCTGAGGCCAGTCGTAGAAGGGGGCATACAAATCAAAGCTATGTTCGGTCAATCCTTCTGGAAGGAAATACGTGTCTCCATTTCAAGTTTCAAGTAGAAACGAGTCTCAAGCACATCTGTGACGAAATTCTACCATACACCCATCACAGTTGTGCAAGACATGATACGTTGGCGCGCCTCTGCGATGTTTTACGACACCGTTCTCAACGTTTAGCAACAGATTTGACATGTACAGTCTGTCCGGAAACTGTAGACGCAGGTGAAACTGGGCAGTTTCGGGTTGTTGGAGAGTGAATTATCCTAAGCCCTTTTGACAGCGCATGCTAAAGGAACAAAACCGTGATAGCCACATGACCTGCAACCAAAATTGAATGGACAAAGTCAAAACGCTGACTCTTCGAATGTGACGGTGTCCACAAATTATAGACGCAGTGACCTAAACAGGAATTTCAAATCCAATATCAACACCAATTATGGCCTAAATAGAAAGATGCGTTGGTAACGCAATAATCGACATCAGGTACATCGCAGGTGGCCATTCAATCATTGCTTTCATGCCAAGGGGGACCAAACTGACCGAGCGCGAGGTTGGTGCCATTCTTGCTTGAAAGCAAGATGGCCTAAGCAACCGAGAGATTACAAGGGCCATTGGACGAAGCGAAAAGGCTGTTAGAACAGTCCTGGTCAACGAGAGGGACCCGCAAGCAAAAGCAAAAGTCGGTAGGAGGTCCAAAATGAAAAAAGAATTGTTCGTCGGATCTTTCGACTTGCCTGTGAAAGGCATGTCATGTAGTGCTATTGCAATAGCAGTAGAATATGTTGTCCACAAGCTTACGGTTCATAAGATCCTAGAGATGTCAAAGTTTGCGAAGTACATCAAACCAAAGCAAACTCCGCACCTCAAGAAGCACCATAAGGTAGCCCTCATGCGTTTTGCGAAGTCGCATCTCAATAACCACGACTATTGGCATCGCGTCGTCTTTACAGACGAAAAGAAATTCAACTTGGACGGCCCTGACGGCTGCCAGTATTACTGGCACGTTCTGCGGAAGGATCCCGAAACATACTCGAAGCGCATAATGGGCGG